AGGGAGGGAGGGAGGAAGGGAGGGAGGAAGGGAGGGAGGGAGGGAGGAAGGGAGGGAGGAAGCGAGGAAGGAAAGAACGAAAGAAGGAACAAAGGAAGGAACGAAGCAAGCAAGCAAGGAAGGAAGGAAGGAAGAAAGAAGGACAAAAGATAGAAAGACAAAAGAAAGAGAGAAAGAAAGAAAAAAGGAAGAAAGGAAGGAAGGGAGAGAAAGAGAGTAAGTATGTAGGATAATGACAAACACTATGGAGAAGAATAAGGCTGAGAAGAACTCTGGAAGTGGATAGAACAGGGGGCCGAGGACCAGTTAAAGTTAAAAGATTTTATTTTATTCTTTTAAACTTTTTAAAAATTGTATTTCTATTATTTTTAAGTAGTTGTTCAAAGGAGTTACCATTCAACAAATCAGATTGCAAGTACAGTACACCTTGGTCTATGTCATCTCTTTCATCATTCTCTCCTGACCCCCCAACCCATTGTCTTCCCTCAAATTTCTCAGTTTCATAGGATATGCATTAAATATTATAACTGCCATTCTCCCCTCCCTTCTTTTCTTCATTGCTCTAACCTCCACTTCTCTTAACTTTTCAGGTGCCAGTTTCCTGGCACTTGAATTTTGTTGGGACTGTGAGTTAATTTAAATGAAATTTTAGATTTTTCACCATCTCACAGAGACAGTGAGAAGGAGCAGGTATGGTTATACACAGTCTGGAGGAAGTTAGAGGACACAGAAGTACAAAATCCCTGAGCTAAGAGAGCTGATATGTTTTTAGAATTTTAGACTGGTACATCCAAAAATTGAGTATTCCAGGAAAGAAAGAGTGAGATGAAGAAAGAAAAAATGCAAGTTTGGGAACCAAGAGGCAGACCCTATAAAACCCAACAGCCAATGGCAATGCTCTGGCTTTTTCTGAGTGAAAAAGGAACCATCTAAGGGCCTTTCCAAGAGAAGTTATGCATCTAATTTGTGATTTTACTAGATAACCCTGGTGATTCTATCAAGAATAGAATGCTGAAAGACAAGAGTAGAAGTGGTCAGGAGCTCAATTGCATGGACTAGGACTTGCAGCAGAAACAGTGAGAAGTGGATAGACTCTGAAAAGACACAAGTTGAGGGCATGAATTGAAAATGAAGCTAGGCACTGTGGCTCATGGTAATTCTGATTTCTCCAGTGCAGTCAACTGCATAGACCTACACCAAAAAGGCAGAAGCTGGATTTAACTGAGGGGGGAGATGTACCAGATAAGTGTAAAGAATCTGAAAGGGAACTTATTTGAGGATAAACAGGAGGGACAGATAAATGGAATGGACAGAGAAAAGGTAGGGGAAATGATAACTTGTATATCCCAGTGGGGGTGACAGTTTGGTAGAATCAAGAAAGTAGAGGAAATGCTCTAGAAAAAAAAATGGCCAGAATGGGATGTTAAACTGATTGTGTGGGTTATGTTTATACTGTCTTTGTAATGACAAGGTCAAGGGAAGGGATGGTAGTGATGGAGAAGAGCAAGTTATTGAACTTGCTCTGGATTTCAGGGGTAAAAGAAATGGAAAGCTGCTGGGTACCAGTGATTCACACCTGTAATCCTATCTACTCAGGAGGATGTGAGATCTGAGGATCCCTGTTCAAAGCCAGTCTAGGCAGATAAATCTGACTCTTATCTCCAACTAACTAGTAAAAAAAAAAAAAACCATAAGTAGAGGTATGGCTCAAATGATAGTGTGTCAGCCTTGAGCAAAAAAGCTAATCAAAAGCACAAGGTCCTGGAGTTCAAGCCCCAATACCAGCACAAAAACAAAAAAGGAAAGAAAAGAGGAAGGAAAAGAAATGAAAGAGTGCTGCAGAGCATCACTAAGAGTTAAAGTGGGTGCTAGGACTAGTGAGAGCAAGGCAGAGCTGTCATCTTTCAAGGACTGATTGGAGAAAGCTGGGGTCAGTAGGAGAGAGCCACACAAATGTGAAGTGAGTGGAATGAAGCAAAGAGAATGGCCAAGCAGCAGCACAGGGAAGCAAGGAGCCCACTTCAAAGATGGAAGCAGAAACATATCTTGTTTCCCCTTGTTACACAAATGTGTGTTTACCACCTATTTCTCTGCCCTTACATTTCATTTTCCATGTGTGCCTTGGTACCACCAAGAGGAAAATATCAGACCATAAAAACCGAGTGGAGGCAGGTTGTTGGACATCAACACATCAGAATGGAATTAGAGTGTAAACACTCAGTGGACCCCATTCAAACTTATAGCCTCCCTTGCCTCCCAACCCCTCCCCCCCCCCACCCCCCGCCCCCACCCCCCCCCCCCCCGCCCCCTGCCTGCCCCTCACCCCCACATGCCCTGCCTCCAGATCGTCTGGAGTAACCTAACCTCTCAGAGACCTGGTGATCTGTTTTCTCTGGAGTGAAAATGACAACACAAATATTCACCTTGTGTATAAAGCACAAAAGCACTCTATAAATGCTAATTCTTTACTCACAATGTCATACAGCAAAGGTAGCAGCTGTGGGCCTCTCCTGAGTTCCAGGCTCTGCTCAAACAGCATGTTTAACTTTGTTATAGATATTATAAAAAACAGCCACCAGGCTCATAGAGAAAAGTATTCCCACTTACATTCATCTATCCCCAAACACAATATAGCAAGGGCTTTGTAGTCATTTATTTTTCAGTGTAAGCCCTGTACCTATAAGCCATTTTTTGTTGTTTAGCCAATACTTGAACTTTCAAGTACTGAGTGCAAGCCAGGGCTTGAACTCTTGACCTCATGCTCTCACTCAGTTTTTTTTTTCACTCAACCTTTTCTGCTCACAGCTAGTGCTCTACCACTTGAGCCATGCCTCCATTTCTGGCTTTTTGCTAATTAGAGATAAGAATATCAAGGATTCGTCTTCCTGGGCTGGCATTGAAACTCAATTCTCAGATCTTAGCCTTCTGAATAACCAGGATATGTATAGCTATGAGCTACTGGCCCCCACTTCCAGTTCGTTTTTATATAAACACTTTTTTGGGAGGTGGATAGGTGATCCAGCCCAGTAGGAGCCTGGGGAAACCCTAAACAACCTACCTATTTCACAGCTGAACTTTCTCTGTAGTTTATACACATTGAAAATTTGATGTTAAATCCAGTTCTAGAGCTTTAGTCCTAAATATATATTTCATATATATTTATATATATATGTATTTATATAAATATATATTTATGAAAGAAGATATCTGTATACTAATTCTCAACCTTTACCATATTATTATTAACAGAAGAAATCTCAGGTAAAATTCTCTTTTATAAGCCAGATTCTTCAAAATGGCCCTATAAAATTCTATTTGATATTGCTTAAAAACAATGAAGAAGAACCCAGCAGTAGAAAGTAGTCCTAAGCCTGCCTCCAAATCACAAGCTCCCACTAAATTATGTCCAAATCAACAAGGTTTATATCTTCAAATATCCAGGAGCTAAAGAAAATGTAGTTTAATGCAGCTAAAATGAAAGTATAGTTATGTATGACTTCCTGAACATTACTAAATAATGTCTACAAAACTAGAATAAGGCTGGGAGGGATGAAATTCATAAATGAGATTTCCCTGCACTGCAGCAATTGCTCTGCCTCCCAGGATACTCCAGGAAACAAGCCTTACGTCAGTTCTGCAGTTTTCTAATTAAGTTTCTACATTTCCTCTGCAGTTCGTTGTAAATACACGTTTGTAAGAAGAACACAACATGGCATGGCTAAAGTGGTCCCAAAGGGAAAAGCCCTCCTGGGGAGGGAGAGCCTGGGGAACTCGGTGGTTAGCCATTATAACCCTGTGCCAAAGACACTGGACTTTCTCCTCTTAGTAATGATCTTGACACTGAACCAGAGCTTTCAAGAATGTATCAAGTGACACTATCTGCTAAGGGCCTTCTCTTTCTGTCCCATAGGGCTTCAGAGGTTGGTTCTGTGACTTACACTTTGCTCTTACATCACAGTGCATAGCTAGGATCTTACCACCTCATAACAGAACTTTCCTTTAGTTTTATAAATCTAGCATACTCATTTTATCTTGACTTTCTCTTTCGTATAATGACAGTGCTTAGTCTTTCCATACTTCTAAGATTTTTTATTCTAAGTCTTGTGGTTTTTCCTAAGACTTTATTAGTCATACAAATAATAAGTTCCATTAAGACATTCTCATATGTATTATACATATATGTACATATAATTCATTTGATCATATTCACCTGCCATTACTCTTTTTTCCCCTACTCTACACCGGGGCATTTTTCAAAGTGCAGCCCCTGGACCAGCAGCTTTGGAACCACATGAAGATTGTTATTTGCTGTTTTCTTCCCACCATGTTCAGGTTTGGTCACTAAATGGTGCTGTTGGGAGGTGGGGCTTTTAAAAGAGATTGAAGTTTTCCTTGCAGGCATGAATTAGGTTTCTCAGAACTGGATTAGTTACCCAAAGAGTGGGTGTTACAAAGCACATCTGCCTCTCTCACACACACGATCTTCCACTTTCTTCTGCTTTTCTGCTCTGAGTTGACAGAACATAAAGCCCCACTAGAAGTTTGACCTCCTGAACTATAAGCAAATCAGCCTCATCTCTAATCAATCCCTAGGTTTAGCTATTTGTTACAGCAGCATGAAATGGAGTAAGACTTTATTGATATAAATCCTTAGGCACCATCTCACTATACTAAAATTTGGAAAATATTGTGATTGAACATTATCTTCTCCTTGGGACCCAGAGCCAAGCTGCAGAACAAGCTATATTCCCATAAGACCTATTTAGCTCAATGGAACTACAGCTTTCAAAGTTTTTAGTACACATTCATCTGCTGCTCTAACCCTTTAGAGAACCTAATTTTATATTTACTGGGAACTTTTATATGCTAGCAGGTGGTCACTGGAATCTTTTAAGCTAGTGGAAGTTCAAGAGGACCACAGAAATACCTGCTTCTGGCATAATCATCAGCAGTTTCTCTCTTCCATTCAACATGGAGGAGCAAAAAGCCTCTTTTTACATAATGATGAATAATTCAGGGATTCGCAATGTCTGAATTTCTATAGGCCTAACTTATAGCTTAGATAAATCACTTACATCTAGGCTTATGGTTTGGAGATGGTTTTGAGTATTTCCCCCAAGTTCATGTACTAGGTACTTGGTTCCCAGTGTTGAGAGATAGGAGAACCTTTATGAGATGAAGCCTAATAGAAAATCATCAGAACACTGCCTCTGAAGGATTAATGCTGGTCTCTCAGAGGGAGAGAAGCTCACTCTGTTAAAAAGTGAAACGCCCCATGCACTTGGCCCTCTTCTGCATATAGCTATTTGCCTTCTTACATCTCTGCCATGTTTTGAGACAACTAAAGGGACCCTAGCCGAAGTCAAGCAAACAAGACACCTGATCATGGAACATGCAACTTCTTTTCATTTTAAAATACTAAGCTTAGCTGGGGAATGGTGGCTTATGGCTATAATCCTGGATACTTAGAAGACTAAGATCTGATTATTGTGTTTCAAAAAGCCAGCTGATGCAGTAAAGTCTTTCAGACTATCTCCAATTAACTGACAAAATGCTGGACTAGAAGCATGCTTCAAGTGGTAGAATGCCAGCCAAGCAGAATAGTAATCTAAGGCCCCAAATTTAAGACCAAGTGCCAGCACAAAAAAAAAAAGAACACAAGAAACTCAGCTTAATGTATTCTGATATATCAACACAAACCAGACTAAGACATCTGAAAATCCAAGATGCTGTCTCCATCCCTACAGGCACCATTTAGGGATGAATAGGGTGGGAAGTAGAAGGAGCATTTTGGTGTCTGAAAACCCAAGCCCATTTCTCTTCCGGCTGCCTTTAGTGTGATCCTGTCCTTGGCTTCTGATCTGACTGAGGCCTTACCCACCTAGGGCATCGTGGGATGGGCATGGCCCCACCAGAGTTCACTTCACCTACCGCACTGGTCTGCACAGACTCATCCTCTGGTTTGGCTTTTATATCAACAACTCCATCAGCATGGCGAAAGGAACATTCGGCAAGGACATCATAAAATGACAACTTCTGGGCCTTCAAGCCATATTTCTCTAGCCACTTCTTAGAGTCCCAGGTGTCTTCTGCATTTGGCTCATTTTCAACAGGCAGTGCTCTTGACCCTGTTTTTGGAATCATAGATCATCAGCCATTCATACTACATGAGTCATTCATATTATACACCTAACCATATTTACTGAGCTGGGATATGCTCTTTGGTAGACCACAAAGTCTCCATTTTATTTCAGGAAATGGTGCTTTTAAAAGTAGAACTGGCAAAGAGTTAGCTCACAGCATTTTACAGCAGGAATCTGGTTTTTTTTTTGGGGGGGGTTGCTGGTCACGGGGCCTGAACTCTGGGGCTGGGCACTGTCCCTCAGCTCTTCAACTCAAGGCTAGCATTCTACCACTTGAGACACCTCACCACTTACAGCTTTTTCTGCTTATGCGGTGCTGAGGAATCGAACCCAGGGCCTCATGCTTGCAAGGCAAGCACTCTACCACTGAGCCATCTTCCCAGCCCCAAATCTGTTACTTTTCATCTCCTTTCCTCCACTATATAAGTTGACTGGCCCCATGCCTTATGGAGCCAGATGATGAACAAGTCTGTGTGTCAGGACGGTATTAAAACTTAGGGTTAGAAGCTCTGACTTCAAGTCCTGACTCTTTATCACCTACTGACTTCAGCATGTTACTCAAGCTGAGGAAGTCATATCATTTGACCTCTCTGAACTTAGGCAGGGGTCTTCATTTGCAGATAAAAAAATAGTACCCTTGGCCAGGCATTGATGGTTTATGCTTGTAAGAGGCTGAGATCTGAGGATCAAAGTTCAAAGCCAGTCCAGGCAAGAAAGTCCATGAGACCCTTATCTCCAAAGAACCACCAAAAAAGCCAGAAGTGGAGCTATGGTTCAAGTGGTGCAGCACTAGCCTTGAGCAAAATAGCTCTGGAGCAGCACCTAAGTCCTAAGTGAAAATTTTGAAAAATGTCCCATGGAGGTTCTTTGTAATGAAGGGGAAACAGAATTAGAATACACAGCCTGAGGGAAGGTAGAAGCTCCTGTTACCCCACTGGTGAGTTTATCTCTATTCAGAACCTGGATCTCAGCTCTGTATAGATCCAGAGGTCTCATTCATCACCTCAGGTACCTGAAACCCGAGGACATCTCACCCATTTGTATCTAGCACATATAAGATGTTATGTATCAAGGACATCTCACCTTGATCTTGTTATCAAGTGACTGTATAACTCAGATAACCAATTACGCAGAGATTATCTGTACAATTATCCCTCAGTATTGAGATAGCAGGTTATCTACGGGATGTCCTACAGTCACCAAAAAATGCTTGGCTCGTATGTTCTTGTGGTATGTTCCTTGAATATAACCTACTTGATCTTCTCATACACTTTAAATCATCTGCAGATGGCTTAAAATATCTATACAGTATAACTATTATGTAAGTGATTGCTATTGTACCATTTAGGGGATGATGACAGAATCATTGTATCTCTATATATATTCAGCACATATGCCATTTTTTCACATATTTTTGATCCAATGTTGGTTAAATCCTTAGATGTGGACTTTAAGGATACAAAAGACTGACTGTAATCTAAAAGTAGCACTCACTATAGGGAAACAAATTACTACCCAAACTTACCCCTTACAGTATATTTAAGAGGTTATTTAATGAGAATAAGACTTAAAGAAAAAATACTTTGGAAGCAATTATTACTTGATAATATGTAAAGGAGCTACTCCACATGAGCCATGTTCTCACATTTTAATAAAACACCTCTGAGGAAATTCACTCTGAAGCTTGTTGGAGTTGGAACTCATCAAAGAAGCTTGTTTCAGCTTTTGAACTTTAAGCCAACACAGCATCAAAAGCCCCCAGAAGCACTATCCTGAATGCCAGCAGTTGGATTCCACATGAATCACAAGGTATATTCAAGCCCTTCTCAGGGAGCTCCGGACAGAGGCTTCTCAGAACTTTTATCCTGGGGCTGTCTGCAAGAGCCACTATGTCTCAAGAGAGTAACAGAAAGAGGACACCCTGCTTTTTTGGAAAATATCCAGCTCTAGAGAAACTTTTCCAGGACTACCTTTCCTTTATTATGTTAATCACTTCCTAAGTTTTTGTCTTCTCTTTATTCCCTGCTTCTCCCCTCCTCAAGGAGGTATGTCCTACTGGAAATAGAATTTTCATTCAATTATTTCCATAGCAACTCACATCTTTCCACTGTTTTGCCTTGCTTTCATAGGAAAAGACAAAGCCCTTTATCAAGTCCAAGTCCAAGTTTACAATAAAAGACTTGTAAAGAAGCACTCAAACCAATCCCAGTTAAGGTTTTTAAAGAGGCAAAAACTAACTTTTAATTCCTCACTTACCCCAGGACAGGATTGTGCAGTCCCTTGAAGTTACATCTGTGGGATACAGTGACAGGCTGAAAAGGGGAGTTCAGGTGAACACCCTAAAGCAATCTGAACTTTCAAAAAGTAAAATGGGGGCAGCTGAGGAATTAAAATCAAAGAACCCAGATGCCTCAAGACTGAAAAAGGAAAACCAGTGAAACCTTTTCATTTTCAGTACAGATTACACTAGTTGGAGGCTGAGCCTCATTGTCCACAGGCAGAGCAAGGAAGGGCATCATCTGTTCATTAGTTTCACTTACTAAGAGGTTCTTTCCATTTCCCCTGCAGTTATCTTAATTAAGAGTGTTATATGAATTCTCACCTACAGAGCCTTCATTTATTGTAGAAGTGTGAGCTCACAGCTAATCCTGCTTACATGGCTTTCCTATTCCACTTGACAGATTGCTAAAGATTTTCTTTCAGTAATGGGTGAGGTAAGCAGATGGTGGAACACATCTATACCACAGAATTTACTTTCCTGATTCTTTCCATCCTATTTATCAATCTCCAAACACTTTTCAAGTATAAATTGTATTGGCCAAAGCTTTTGAAAATCTTCACCAGGATAGCCAGAGACACAAGCAAAAGATATATGGCTTATCAGTACCCACTTCCTCCCTCCCCATCCTTCATTCATCTGCCCTTCTCTCCAGGACTTCTAACCTTCAAGGATTTACAACCCTATTATGGAGCTCTCCCCACATCCTCCTCCACGGAAAGCTGCTCTTTGGCACCTTGGTCTTGCCATGCTAGTCTACCTGCCTTTCAAGGAAACTATCAGCAAATAAAAAACTTAGATATCTAGAAAGTCTGATGTTTCCCATGGGAGCTCCACAAACACAGCTGCCACTACATGCCAACGGCTGCTACTCAGAAGCAGGCACCTTAGGCAAAAGTTGAGGAACATGAAACTGAAAGTCCCAAGGAGTTCTTGATGACAGTTCTCTAAACCTCTCTTCTGAGAATGAGCAGGGTGTGTGTGTGGGGGGGGGTACTACAATAGCTTTGGATTTGGATGATATAAAGAGATTTAGTTCCAGAGTCTTTCTGCATAACTTGGTGGAGGATTGTATTTTATAGAACATATCTTGTTACACGTTGTCCAAGACCCCTATTATAGGTACCATGGGATAGTAAACTCAGGAAAAGGATAGTAGGAAGGAAGGAAGGAAAGGAGGGAGGGAGGGAGGAAGGAAGGAAGGAAAGGAAGGAGGGAGGGAGGGAGGGAAGGAGAGAGGGAAGGAGGAAGGGAGGGAGGGAGGGAGGGAGGGAAAGGAGAGAGGAAATAAGAAAAAAAAGCAGAATTCTGGGAAGTGGGGGAGAAAGACAGCAGCCATGAGGAAAAGCTGTCTGGGTATTTTCTGCTGGTGAGATAGGTAAGTGAAATTTTCAGCCATATGAGCTACTCAGCAGCTGCAGGGCTATAGGTCCTCTAAAGGTAACATGAAGCTTGACCTGGGCTGAAGCCAGAGGAAAAGTGGTGACCGTATGGCATGAAACAGAAGCCTGTCTCTTGAGAAGTTACACACTTTGCCATACTAATTTCCTGCTGTTTTCTGTTATCATGTGCTGAGCATGATTATCTGACAGATCACGGGTACCAGGAAAGGGGAAAGATGTATGAGCTGAGGATAATAACCCACTAATATTCTGCAAAACTGATTCTCTGCAGAGATAGGGGTTAATGTTCTTGGGAATGCCTCAGGAGTTACACATTGAGGGCTGAGGCTCACGGGACTCAATGGCAGGCTGAAATCACATGTCTATAAATGTGTGATGGTGTTAAGTGGGCACCATAACCTTGGGAAACATCCTAGAATTTGTAATCATTAACTTCACGGGAAAATGGGACAAAATCCTAGTGAATTTCCAGACTCTGCCTCCCTGAAATAATTTTACTTCCTCCTTTAAAGCCTGTAAAATCTAAGTAAAATCTCTTGTAATGAAGGCTATACAACTTGTTTACAAACCATTGGAAAGATGATTTCCAGCTCTCAGGCTCTCTAATTCCTATAATTCTAAAAGGGAAAAGAAGAAAAAGGAAATAAAGAATCATAAAAGAAGCAGATGTAAAAATAAAGAACATAAAACATTAATAATGAAAGAGAACATGGGAGAGGAGCTAAAGCCCATTCAAAGATACATTTTACATTTCCCACATTGCCCTTTGGCCTCGGAATTCTGAAAGAAGGAAGTCTTTAAAAATTACTTAAGATGAAGCAGTGAATGAGACAGCTGCAGGAAGCATTTTAAACTATAACACCTGCTGCTGACTACTGAGAAATGCAGAGCAACAGTTTAATGGTAGACCCACAGAAAGATTGAAACCACTAACAGGACTGCAGACTACAGAAGAATAATTTTTAAAACTTCATTCATTCAGTCCAGGAGACTGAACTCATGGTTTTGAGCTGCTCTAACCACTTGAGACATGTCCAGCCCTTTTGCTTTCGTTTGTTTTTCAGGGAGGTTTTCAAACTGGTCAGTTTAGGACTAGGGCTCTCCAACCTTTGCCTCCCAAGTACTTGGGATTTCTGGCACAACTAGCTCAGAAGCCACATTTAAATCTGCTTAAATAAAAATGAACAGTTAAATTGAAAATAGTTGAGGAACAATTTTATAGGCATCAATTATATAACTACTTTTTTTCCATCTTTTTTTTTTCCTAGTCCTGGGGCTTGAACTTGAGCTGCTTTTGTTCAAGG